CACACACACACACACACACACACACACACACACACACACACACACACACACACACACACACACACACACACACAGAGAACAGGTAAGTCTCCAACCCCGCGGCTGGCATCGCCGCGGTCGTTGTCTCGCGGTCCCTTTCGCTCTCCTCTCAGTGATGATCCCAGCATCTGGCAACCCCGTTCCCACGCGATCCTGCTCCCTCCCCACCACGGGATCTCTTCTCCCTCTTTTGCCACATCTCTCAGCTGCAATCTCTCGGCTGCCTGCACGCCCATTCCCGCCACCCGATCTCTTTTTCCCTCGTTTGCCACGTCTCTCACCACCTGCGACCCCACACCACGATCTCTCGACTGCTCTCACGTTGTCGCTCCCCACACCGTTGCCGCTCCCCACTCCGCGATCTCTCGATTGCCTGCATGTCACTCCATCCCCCAAAGCACCGACGCGCCCCCTGCAAATCCTCCACCCCGCCCGACCCTTTCCCAGCCTCGCGTCGGTTCGCACCACGCGCAAATTCTTTCCACCCCCCGCCCTTTCCCTGCCTCGCCAACCGTGGGCCCCCGCCTCGATCGTGCGCACCCGTACCCACTCCGTCCCAGCCTGTCCCTGCCTCCAGTCCCCTGCCAGGACAGCGCGGTCCTAGATCGATTTTCGTTGGGCCCATGTCCGCCCAAAGAGTATAGAGAAGTTAAGGAGCTGAAGGAAGGTAAAGAAAGCAAGGTAAAGCAACAGAGGACAAGCAAAGAGAAAGGAAAGATTAGAAACAACAGGAGTGAAAGGCGAAGGAAGGTAAACAACTGACAGAAAGGAGGGGAGACAAATCAATGAAGGTAAGAAAGGGAGTAAAGCACTGGAAGGGAAACAAATGAGGGAACACAAGCAAACATAAAGTAAATAGAACCAGTGCGAGGGCGGTAAGACAGGAGACGGGAAGAAAGGAAGGTAAAGTACAGAGGGATAACGAGGATTCAATCTCACCAATGCAAACACAACGCTGCAGTCACTTGATAATGAAAGCCCACTTTCCGCCTCAACTCAATCAATACAACAACAGTGGTAGCCCTTGACTCAGGTATATCCGCCCATACTACTCCCTAGCCAAGCCTATCATCCACTAGTCTGCTACCGTCTTCACCCAAATAGAATGCCTGGTCATTATAGCTGTATTTAGCACACCTTTCAGTCCAAATGCGGTGATAATGACTGAGCGTCCTATTCAGGTGACGGCGGTAGCAAAATCCCCACTTGCCAATGACCGCTGGAATAAAAAAAAAAGGAACAGATAAGTAAGTTCACTCCACCAAGAAACGCTGGCATGCAGTTACGCAGTGCTGCAAACTGGGTCCGGCATCCTGATACCATATGACAACAGCAAAATAGGTTCTTTTTAGTTTGTAATACTTTGTCTAGTTTTATCGTATACAAATATAATAGTTTACCTGAGGATCAAGCAAACACCGGTCTGAGCAGGCATCAACATCTTTTATCATATACAAATACGCCAAAAGTGATACTTGTACAGCTGACATCTCTGCAAAGCTTGGCGTGGACGCGGAATCTGCCTCGGCAAAAAGAGGCTCAGAGGTATTGGTGATTTAAAGGGGGTTAGCCCCTATCAATATTGTATCCATCAGGTTTGTTCTCCTGACCTGTTTATCAACAGCTGCATGTGTATGCCATTTAAGGCTACCCTCTTCACCCGAACATAGCGCGTATGTGTTGTAAACGAATACAACACATAGGTTGCTTTCTATTCGACTACAATGCATATGCATTCTATTCCAACAGCTGGTACATTCGAATAAAATACATGTGCGCTCTATTTGAATCAGCGAGTTTTTTTTTGAGAAATTCTAATACAACACATATCCGTCATGTTCGGGGGATGACGGTAGGGTACGGGTTTCTGTCCTTGTTGGCAGTTCCTTGAAGTTCTCAGCACCTGAGCTGTGGATGGATAGTCCTGACCTTTGCAGTTGGTGAAAAGATCTGAACCTTTAAAAATTGTGGGAGGATTTTTTTTTTTTTTTTTCCAATTTTGCTGACGAATGGCAACCTTGGAATTCCCAATGTGATTGCTGATTGCTGGCAATTACATCCTTTTCCCCAGAGAACCTCTTTTACAACTTTGCAAAGAGTAACACAGACAAGCACTTTTATTGATCAACTTCATGTTGCTCAACAGAGAAGAGGTTGGAATGGTTGGGGGGGGGGGGGGGGGGGGGGGGGGGGGGGGGGGGGGGGGGGTGGGGGGAGGTGGGGGGAGCGGGGGGGTAAGACAACAAAGTAGCCGAACAGAGTGCACAGACTGACCTTGATGGACCTGCATGGCTTGGTAAAAGGCATTGTACACTTCTTCTCTCAACGCTGTATCAAGAACTTCAGCTACATCTGGTTCATCGAGAAGGAGCTTCCTGGTGGTCTTGTCTTGAAGAAGAAGATCCGCATAACTGCATTCATTTCACACCCAGCCACACTATTGATGCGAATGCTTTGTTGAATTTGAAGTTCTCTTCTTCACATCCTTCATGACATAGTAACCTCACTTACACCGCCAGAGTAGAGGACCTGCTAAGTTCCGAGCCTGCCATTCCTTTCCGTTTCCGCTTTCGTTGGTTTGCTGACAATCTTGAGACATGGAGGTCTCCTCAATTCCATGCCAATCTTCTCTCCCTTTTCATCTCTGTCACCTGCGATTCTGACTTATTCTTGACAGTTTGAGATTTTCTCCCACTGGAAATTGTTTCCCTTTTTGCACCGAGGTTACTAGGTCTGCCTGGCCAGGGCCTCCTAGACCTGGCAGGAGGGGGAGGGTTCCCCTGGCTAATCCGGGCCACAATGCGCTTGTTGAGAATGTGCGGAATCCGCCGTTTTTTTCCTGAAATTTTGGAAGTCAAGTTGGGACCTGTTGGGGTGACGGGTGGGTGCGGGTCAGGGCTTCGGTTGGGGATGGGCAGCGGGGGGAAGAAGAACAAGAAGAAGAAGAAGAAGAAGAAAGAAGAAGAAGAAGAAGAAGAAGAAGAAGAAGAAGAAGAAGAAAGAAGAAAGAAGAAGAAGAAGAAGAAGAAGAAGAAGAAGAAGAGCGCCCATAGCCGCTGTAGTGTTAGAGGTTAGTGAGCGTGTACGAGTGAGTGTGTGTGGGTGTATTCAAGGTGATCCAGAGTTGAGTGCAGGTGAACGGTGGTGTTGAACACAGCGACGAGAGTTGTGCTGTACAGGCGCTGATGCGCCATATACTGTTGAAGCGAGTTTACATCTGAACTGTGTTCTTGGTTGCCATATCTCTGAGCTTGGTGTGGGCGCTGCGCCAGTGTGAATCTCAATCTGTTTGCATGTATGTGAAGTGGAAGTGAAAGCGAGTCCGATTGCAAGAAGAAGGAGAAGAAGGAAAACAAGGAGAAGAAGGAGAAGAAGAGAAAGGAAGAGGAAGAGGGAGGAGGAGGAGGAGGGAGAGAAAGGGAGAAGAAGCGGAAGAGTAAGGAAGAAGAAGAAGAAGAAGAAGAAGAAGAAGAAGAAGAAGAAGAAGAAGAAGAAGAAGAGGAACGAAGAGGAAGAGGAAGAAGAGGAAGGGAGATGAAGAGGAAGGGAGAGGGAGGAAGAGGTAGGACGAAGAAGAAGAAGAAGAAGAAGAAGAAGAAGAAGAAGAAGAAGAAGAAGAAGAAGCAGCAGCAGCACCAGAAGAAGAGAGAGAGAGAGAGAGAGAGAGAGAGAGAGAGAGAGAGAGAGAGAGAGAGAGAGAGAGATTGTATTGGCAAATCGAGAGCCAGGCTCCCTGACTTAAGATCTGAGATTCATTGCTTGGAGGTGTGCTTGAGGTGATTCATTGTTTGGAGCCAGGTCTCTTCTGTGCTTTGACCTCTCCTTGGATGATGTGAGAATGGATCTGAGTCACATTGTGGATTTGCTGCATCGTAAAGTCAGTCCTCTCTTTTTTTAGTTTTCCTCTGTGTCATAGTACGTCTCCTCTTAATGTTCTGATCTTTGGACTTTGCATTACCTTGGCTCACCACTGAGCATGCATCAGTCTGTCAATCTTCCGTATTGTCTTTCAAACGTAATTGATGAATTTGTGTGTTGTTACTGTCGTGTTGTATCCATTTCTTCCAATACCCATTCCTTCATCCACACCTATTTCTGAGTGCAGTCGCTCATCCCAGGGCGTACACTCAATGGACAAGAGCGTACGTCAATCCTCCCTATTGGGCATAAGGACCTGTCTTCGACACCTGGCTGACGAGTCTGCCTGTACTTGATTCTATCCATTACTAGAAATGCCCATTCTTTCAAAACACTCTCACATCAACTTGAGATCAGCAGCTCATCTCAGGGCAAACATTTGATGGATGTGAAAGGTCTGTAAGCCCTCCACATTGCACAGATTCAGAGAGATGTGTTTTAGACCAAGCTGATGAGTTCGTGTGTCCTTGGGTCTGTCCATTGACTCCATTCCTTCAGAACATTCACATATGGACATACCTTAGTGCAGCATCTGGCGTAATTAGTTGCGTAAATTCTTCACTGTCTTGGGCTGAATCACTCTCATCAGACACAGAGTTGTTGTTCGCATGATGTGAATCTGGAACTTGCTTCTCCTTGCCTCTGGTGCTCATGACATGGCTGTTGCTGTTTGTGCCATGTTTAGTACTGCCATTCTTACCCTGCCTCATTTCCTGCCGCTGACTAGAGCAGCGCGTAGCCTGTCTTGGAGCAGCACAATTATTCCCAGCTGGGGAGCTATTCCCAGATCTCACAGGAGTTGAGTTACGACCTTTCTTTGACACCAAAGGAGAGCAAGAACCGCCTTTCTCTTGAAGAACACTGCAAGCAGAAGCCACACTTCCTCGCCGACTTCTCATCATTGGACTCTGAGAAGATGGAGGACCCATGGTGTCACTGTTTCTCAGTACTGATGCATTGCTTCGACGATTTTCTCTTCTAGGAACCTGGTGTGCAACACAAGACATTGCACTTTTGGCAACACTTGCCGGCTGACTGGGTTGGCAATTCTGCAGAAAGTCCTCATCCTGGCATGCGCAGCAATCCTTTATAGCAAGAGCAATACCTTGAACAAGGTCATTCAGGCCTCCCCATGAACAGATGAAGGATAGCACTGCTCTAATCTGTCCAAAACACAAAACCAGCAGCAAATCAACTTGCGGCTTCAACCAAGTGTTTTTTTTTTTTTTTTTTTTTGCAAATGGAAGACCTTTAGAGGCCCGTCTCTACCCGGCTCCATATCCATTATGGGAACGCCAGAGAATACTAAAAGTGTAATGTAATCCGGAGTATTACATATCATGGTACAGATTAGAGCATCAAGGTCACGTAGTGAAAACACTCTACATAACTCATCCCCTCAAACTCCATCCGCTCAGACTGATATTGAGCCTTGCTTGATGCTACTTTTATAGCTCAAACTCCGGTGCGAGAGAGGTTTCCCTTTCAGTCCCTAGCCCCGAATCCCATGAAAGTCCTGAAATGATTTCAAGCAAAGTAAAAGAAAAGAAAAGACCAGAAATAAAAACCGTCTGTCCTTCGGGACAGACGTTAAAATTGGAATGATACAGAGAAGATTAGCATGGCCCCTGCGCAAGGATGACACGCATAAATCGAGAAATGGTCCAAGACTCCACACACACACACACAAAAAAAAAAAAAAAAAAAAACGTCATTATTGCATCATCTATTTTGCCTTATTTGAAACGTTTTCCACTGCAGCCTGGACTTTGTTTACGAGCACGATGTATGCCGGCCCAGTGAATATCGAAATGCATATCTTCTTTGTTCTCATTGAGTAATCCTGCAGCTCCTTGCCTGCAGCTCATTGCCAGCACCGTTTTTTCAGTCGAAGTTACCACATGTTTGCCATTGAAGATCTCAGTGAAATCAAGAACATCTTAGAGTCTTCGCGTGGCCGGCCATCTCAGGCCTGGCTCATATTGCCCGCTGGCGCTAGCTGCGCGCCAAATCGTCTGCACTTCTCATAGCGCTCACCGCCTCCGTAAC